AAAAATACCAGACTGTTCCACAGGAGCAATGAAAGAAGAGAGAGGTGATCTTATCAAATTCTACAATGAAGTTTATATAGGAAGAGTGAAATCATTTGCACTAAAATATGATCTGTCAAATGAAGATCATGTGGTACGTATGTGCAAATTTTCCTATTTCGTGCCCATTGCTTTTCAGTTGCATTTGTTATAGCTGTTAATATTGATTGACCCTTAATAGAAACAAAAGAGAAAGTAAATAAAACATGTATATATGTATGTATGTATGTATGTGTGTATGTATGTATGTGTGTATGTATGTATGTGTGTGTATGTATGTATGTATGTATGTGTGTGTGTATATTGGGGCAGGTGAGTGGTGTGGTGGATAGAGTGCCCAGGCTGGAGTCAGAGAGACTCATCTTCCTGAGTTCAAATGTGACCTCAGACACTTCCCAGCTATGTGACCCTGGGCAGGTCACTTAACCCTTTTTCCCTCAGTTTCCTCATTTGTCAAATGAACCAAGGAAGGAAAAGGCAAACCGCTCCAGTGTCTGCCAAGAAAACCCCAAATGAAGTCACAAAAAGTCAAACATGGCTGAAATGACTGAATAACAACAACGAATGTATGTATTTGGTTATCAGGTTCTGGCCCTTCTTAACTATTGCACTCCCAAAATATGTAAATATAAAGTTGCTCTTAATTAGAGATGCTCCAAATTCTTACACTTTGAAACACCAGTGTTTGCAGCACCTGGGAGTCAGAGTAAAGTTCTAATGAACCTAGAAAGATGCAGTTCATCTGTTAAGGGCTGAACACAAGTGGTAGGAAGCAGTTTGTTTTTTATTCCAGCTAAGCAGACATCCAGAAGTATGGGGGGAAAAAAGTTAGACTTACAAAATCCTTAAGCAACTACCCGCAAAATAACATTATATTTTAAAATTTCAGATGGAAGCCCCACCTCTGTCTCCTTTCCCAAACATTAAGCAGCAGCCGGTATCACCTCGTCGGATCTCTCAGCAACATTCTGTTTATGTGTCCCCACACCAGAATGGAACCTGCCTTACCCCAAGGACAGCTCTGCTCTACAGGTTCAATGGCAGCCCTTCCAAGGTCAGTGCTTAAGCACTTTTAAGATAGTTTTAAAAATTAATTTCAGTTTTTCTTTTAACTTTTTCTTGCTTTGTTTTTTGCTGTTAACGTTTAATGTAAAGGTATTAAATTTGAGGAGTAAAAATTATAAAAGGACAGCTTTTCATGTCCAGTTTTCAGTTTCTTCACGCCATCATTATTTTAAGTTGAATATTCTCAAGAATGTCACTTAGAATAAGCATAGTTTTCCAGAATGTCTCTATGGTACAAAGAACCTTCAGATGTTGAGGCAGGCAAGGTCTTTGCTGATTGACCCACATTTGTTGTATGTATTCAGAAGACATCAGGTAGTTTTAGTTATAAAATGTATAAACATGCCCTAGGAAGATGGGTTACAGGTACTTACCTGCCATAGTTGAAAATTTGGATGGGTGACCTTTTGCCTAAAACTGTGCACACACACACACACACACACACACACACACACACACACACAATTTTCCCTAAAATTTTTCTGATGTTTTGGACAGAGTTTGAAGGACATCAACAATATGATTAAATATGGTGAACAAAGAAGCAAGAAGCGAGCGTTAACCATTGATGGCGATACTCAATCACCAACTAAGCGCCTCTGTCAAGAAAATGATGATGTATTACTGAAACGACTGCAAGATGTTGTCAGTGAAAGAGCCAATCATTAACACTCATGTGGTTTCAGGGAAAAAAAAATCATTCAGGTCAGTTCCCCATTTTCTAAAAGATAGGCATTCGTTTGGAATGTCTAGCTCTGCCCATGCGCTCTCTTGGGATACCCTGTATTGAGTGGTGTGGAAACTGCAGAAGGATTTCAATACTTTTTATATTTTTATTTATGCAAAATGTGGCATAAGACAGAGACTTTGCTTGGCAGTGGGACCTTTAATCTACAGTTGTCTTCATACAAATACTGATTGGTGTTGGCACCCACCATGTTGAAGTTTTCTTTCTTAAGTCATTAAGAATGTATCAGTTGCTCTTGAGGGGGCAAATTACATCCATGTGGAATTTTATTCCCGTGATCATCTTTGAGATCAGAACTAGGTGAGCAATGAAGTAAAAAGTTATTTCTTTAACCATAAGGATATACTTTTGGAGGGGAATGTCTCATGTGCCTTTTCTCATTTGGCTTATAAAATCTCTCACTGTTTTTAAGTTAATGAAGCAGGGAGAAAATTGATTGTAAATAATACTCTAAGAAGTTTTGAGCCAAACTTTTCTAAAATATGTGTCTTTATGTTCTGTTGTAAATGTAAGTAACCTATTTTTGATAATGTTAAGAATATCAATAGCCAAAGCTTTTATAGCTTTCAATTGTTGTCATTCTAAGACAGGAGTTGGCAACCCCCTCTAGCACTTGTGCCAAAAAATGACAGGCCACAGAATTACATCATCTTTAGAGTTGGATTTGATTTCAGAGGCCATCTGGTCCAACCTATACCTCAATAGGAATCTCTGCTACATCTCCATCAAGTGGTCATCTAGTCTTCACTGGAAGACCTCCAATGGGGGTGAATTTACTACCTCCCAGGACAACCCATTCCATTGTGGGATGGCTCTGCTAGTTAGGAAGTTGAGCTGACATCTATCTTTGTGCAGCTTCCACCTGTTGTACCTAGTTCTGCTTTTTGGGCCAAAGTAGAACAGGTCTAATTTCCCTACCACATGATAGCCCTTTACTTATTGATCCTGTTCCTCCTAAGTTTTCTCTTCTTCAGGATAAAAATCCCACGTTCTTTGGAGACCAATCTCCTCCTCATTCTAGTATCTTCTTTTGAACTTGCTCCCGCTTATTATCAGGCATCCCAAAATGTCAAAAAGAAAATGAAGCTGGTCTGACATGACCTGTTCTCTATCGAGTTGTGATCACTATTTCCCTTTTTAAACATTCACAATGTAATTTTCAAGTTCTAGAATTTTGCTGGGAATTGAAGTAATATTTTTTACTAGCTATCATTAGGGATATTGTCTGTATGCAAGCTATTATTCGTACATCTTAAGCTTTATCCAGAAATTGAAATCTTGTTCCCAGATAGTAGCTTCTTAATCTGCTTCCTAAATCTTAATTTTTCTTTTGAAGCTTCTATAATAATAGTAAAGGGTAATGAAAATACACATATCCTTAGAAGTTTTTCATTTCTTGCTTGACTTCACAAATCCTTAGCAATGTTTCCTTGGTTCCTCTGAATGGTATAGTTTATCCTACAAATCATCTGGAGTGGGTAGTGATCATCACATCTGACCCTTCTCAGAACACTTTGTCATATCTTTGGTAATATTCCCCAAGAAGATACCAAAGCTGCTGTCTTGGTTGGTACCCTTCAGGAGGAAGTGACCGACAACCACTACTTGTCTCATTGCTGCCCCTGACTGGGTGACTTCTCTTCTGATGGGATCTTAGGATCCGTAAGAAATTGCTTCCTACTAGGATTTAGCTCCCCACTAAATGGGAAGTGCTTCACACCTATTACTTGACTCCACAGATCTTGAAGTCACATTTGTCTACACTTTGGTACAGGTTAGGACTTGTCATCTCAAGATTCCTTCTCAGTTTCTCCTCAAAGAACTTCCCATTCTTTTAAGGGACACTTTTCCCCCTCTGAACTAGAGATAAATTCTTCTAGCCTGTCATGGCAACCTGCTATGCTGACCTATTTGACACACCTGCTCACTGCTTTGATGGCTCAAAAATAAGGCTCTCCTCTTCTCAGAAGTTACCTGACATACATGTTTTTGATGGACAGTTAGCAGATTCCTGCCAAGTATTAATTCAAATAGCTTTCCTCAGCTGTCTTATGAGGGTCTAAAGCTGAATACCAGCTCATTTATTCTAACATTACCAGTCTGTCACCCCTTTGCTTTGACATCCCGTGACCTTGCCCCCAGCTTGGTCACAATCCTTTACTTCTCTATCAGTGGTTATTTGATATTTAAACACAGCTGCCAGCACTGTGTTTGCCCCATATTCACACATCTGTAAAAACCCAGTACAGCAAAGGATGTGGCAGATCTACAGCATAGCACTCTGGGAGATGGCCACCTCTCACCTTTTCAGACTAGCAAATGTCCAGATGTTTAAGTGGCTTGCCCAAGGTCACACAGCTTTGAACCCCAGATCCTTAATAAATATTCCTCTATCCTGTTACTTTGCTTCTAAGAATAAGCCTTATTATTAGTTTCAAGTTTATCTTTTAAATTAAAATAGTTTTAGGTAAAATTTATGAAAACATAATTTGTGTAGTATCTACACCTTTGTATGTGAAGATACAGCACTTCTTAAGTGTACATATCTCTATGTAACTATAACCATTATGTTCTTTCTACTTTCATTGACAGCATGCAAAAGGCCTGTACTTACACAGGAAGATCATCTTTTTATAGTTTAAAAAAATGTTTAGATGAGGTTTTATGTCAAGTTGTTTATTCTTTTTGTCTTAATTGTATTGCTTAATAATAAACCATTTAAATTTTTCACATTTACCTCCAAGAAACTTGTGACTGGAAATATTTATGCCAACATTTAAAGCCTACTGTTAAAAATTTCAGTGTTCTAGGTCAACAGCTAATATTGGAATGACCTGTTTTTAAGAAACCTCAAAAGTAAACCTACTAAGTATCCAGGAATAAGCTCCAAGTATATTCAAATAGACAGTACTAAAAGGACTTTTGTTGGTCACCCTCCTGGCCCCCCAGCATCATAGTGTATCTACTACCAATTGCAACACAGCACTAATTTGGCTTGCCACTTCTGATTATTACGTTCAGTTTAAAAGACTGCACCAGGTGAGTCACCACCTAGAAGTTTGGAGCCATTCATACAGACTTATACAAAGTTGTTGGGCTTTTTTTTTCCTTTTAAGGAACAAAGGAATTTAGAGTAACATCACAGGGCTTTCTAAGCATTACAGAATTAATTTAGAAACAATGTCATCAATACAATTTGTTATGGGCCAAGCTAGGGGCTTTTTTTGTGGACTGATCTTGGAGCAGTCCATATTTTCCAAACATTTTGATAGGATACTATATTCTAAATTTAACAAATTCTTCTAAAACAATTTATTCCAAATGGAAATAAATGCTACAGCGTCATAATGGTTTCATAACTCAGATGGAAGTCTCCTAGGACTTGTCCTAGCGTGGCAGTGAATGACAGACGCAGGAGAATGTTTTTAGGCTAAGCTAAGGCAGGAGTTTTTCCTCCCCCTCTAGAAGCCAAGGCCCCTGAGGCTTTCCAAGTCAGAGGACAGGAGACTCCTAGATCCAGGTAATCCTCCCTTTCCCACCATGGTGATTCATTCAGCTAAAGTCAAGTGATTTGAATCTGGTCTATCATGACCAGAATTCTGTTGAAGCCAGGCTTAACTTCCTATTTTTTCTTCTTGGTGTTTTATGGTATTCCACAAACGTAGGCCAACTGGCTAGTCCTGAAACAAGGGAAAAAGTAAATTTGTAAGATGCAATCATGACTATATATCCAAAAGGGCCCAAGGCCAACAGTTTCTTCAAGCAATTATTTCAATAACCTAAAACCTGGCCTCAAATCCAAGGCCTGAGAACCTGTTTGATCCTATTTTAAGCTAGGGATCCTATCTAACTCATTCTCTTCACCCATAAAATGTAAGCACACCCTGAAGCCAGACAGTTTCACTATCTTTGTATGTCCAAAAACTAGCACCTAAGTGACTTCTGCCAAATAGAATATCTTCAATCATTTGAAAAGTCTGTTAAGGGCAAAGCGTAGACACTGAGAAAACATAAGTTAATTATAAAAATATTTTAAACTATTTCAATGTAATTGGTTTCCTTTGTAATCCTATGTATTTTATGCACTTAAAAATAGGATTCCAAGGAGTCCAAAAACTGAACCAGACTGCCGAAGGGATTCATGAGAAAAAGGTTGAGAACCTCTGCCCTATTCTAGAGGAGACTGACATCTAAAGCTGGCTGTGGGTAGCTAGGAGTCAAAATTAAGCCAGAAGCTACAGTAATAAGGACCTTTGGCTATACTTAAATAGCAGCTTCATTTCTCGAATAGGGTTTATTTCACAGGGTCCTGTATTGGGATAGGGAATACATGTCCCTTATCACTACTTTCTAGCTTTATACCATTTCTAAATCCGCTTCAACTTTTTTGAGAATGAGCATTCTCAGGAATCAAGTAGGCTCCAGCTCTGAGAAGTCTCACTACACTGCCTCTCCAAGCCAGTTCATAATTTAGCATTCCCCAAAGGATGACCAAGAGGAGTAACATCAACATTCAAGCTTCACTAAAGACAACTAGCACTCACATTTTATACCTCACTTTATAGCAGGCAAAGCATTTTTTTCATGACCTGTGTGGGCTTATTAGTTCAAGTACTCCTTTTCTCAAAGGCATCATTGTATAGGATTACCAGCCTTGAAATCAAGAGAAATGGATTAGGTATCCAATCTGACAGTGACTGTGATGCCAGGCAAGTTACCTAACACATCAGTGTTCTAAGCCAGGACCTGGAAATGGATTTAAATGTAGTTTGTGGGCTGGATCCAAAGCAGGTGGTGAAACAAATTCAGCCTACAGACCATAGCTCTAAGCAGCTCTTTTAAAGACTGCAAATTGCAGAGATGCCAGCCTGCACTGGTAGATGTAGTTTCCAATAAAAATACAGCAGCAGTCCCTATTGCCACTAACAGTTTATACATGAGGAAACCGAGGCTCACTTTAATCCAGTGTCAGATGTTCCAGGGCACTCACCTAATTTAAGAACCAGATTCAAACCCTAGTCTTTTGACTCAAATTTAGTGCCCTCTCAAAGACAGACTTCAAACACAAGAAAAATATTCTTTACCTTATACGACCAAACCTAGGTGAGTAGCATAGTTAACCACTAACAATACAGGTTCAAAAAAAGAAGGGAGAACGGAGTGGGGTTCAGAAGAAACACACAAATTAAAAAGAACTAGGTGGTGAAATTTCATAGGACTATTAAGTAGCAGAGCCAAGATTTGAAATTGAACCCCTTAATTCTAAACCTAGCATTCATTCCACCATACCACCCAGTCAAGCTCTTTATATGTTAGGGTAATGTGCACCAGACACATGGCACCAACTAAGGCAAGAGCCTTAAAGGCAGTTGGTGGCTTAATGGATAGAGCACTGGGCTTGGGATCATAAGACTGGAGTTCAAATCTAGGCTTAGACATTTATGCTCCTTCCCTTCCATCCTTCCCAGAGTAACAATCCTAAGATACACTTAAGACTTCCAAAGATCAGCATTTGAATACTTGTTCCGGTAAGAAATGTTTGATCGATTCCCCTTGCACTTGGATGAGTAGGAACCTCCTTACCTTTGAGACAGGCAAAAGTACTTGTCCACGGACAAATCCTCTTGTAGGTGATGGAATCACCTGAACAGCCTGCTAGGATTAAAAGGCAACCTAAAATAAAGTAAAAAACCAAAAAAGTCTTTGACATTTTCCTAAAAATAAGCGGCCAGCCAAAGTCCCAACACCTCCAAAACTGCCTTGTCAGTTTCTATATCCCTTTCCTCCAAGCTCTCACAGGACTTTGTATCAATGCCGCAGCACCGTGGATGGTCCACTACCGAAGAGGCAAGTGTGTGAAAGGTACAGGGTTTAAAAGGGCTGGATGCTGACCCTTCAAACACGGGAAAACCCTTTCAGGAGTTTCTCTTCCTGCACTATCAATGACCAGGTCACAGTTAGACCACGATCACTTTCGAATGCAGGGCCAGGAAAAAGGCGTTCCAGGTCGCGGGTCGAATTGGTCCACGCGGATGGAAGCGCCCCCGCACAGAAGAGTTTAACAGCGGCCACCGAGGACACCCCGGTGGCCCCCCCACAACCCCGCTAAGGCAGAACGCACGTCCGTTCATTCACTCGCAGCATCACCTCGACGACTCTAGAGCCTATCAAGTCCGTCCTTTACCGCGCCGTCTCCGCGTCTCCTGCGCACCTGGGCCGGGGGCTAAGCCCTCTTCCCCAGGTCTCGGGCTGGCCCGATAGACCCCTCCCCCCCCACCCCGCAGCGCGAGCAGAGACCTTCCCCACCTCTTCTTCCCGCCCTGGGCCCACGCGGAGGGAGCGGAGCAACGGGAGCACGGCCCCACGGGGAAGGTCCGACTCGGCCCTCATTGGTCCTCCGCGGTGAAATCAGGGAGGCTGAAGCCGCCGGGGAGGCGCGGACGGCCGGGGGTGGCGAGACGCGGAATGCCGCTGGACCGATCTGAGCTCCATGCCGGCAGCTGTGAAAGGAAGGATGGAAGGCTGGGAGAGGGTTTATAATGCCAACCCCGTGGCGTCACTTCCGCCTAGTCTGGGCAAGCGCGGAACAGGTGGGTGAGCTGCGGCGTCCTCTGCTGGATGGAGACGGGAGGTACAAGGTTCCTTTTGCTCCCCTAAACTTGTGGGTGCGCAGGATATAGAATACTGGTCTTCTCTAGAGTCGGGAAGACACATCTTCCTGATATCAAATCTGGACTCTGACACGCCTACTGAATGACCCTGGGCAAGTCACTTAATCCTGTTTGCCTCAGTTTTCTCATCTATAAAATGAGCTGGAGAAGGAAATGGCAAACCACTCCAGTATCTTTTCCAAGAAAACCCAAATGGATTCACAAAGAGTTGGATTTGACTGAACGACAACGGCCCTTTAGGAGGAGGAGAGAAGGACATTGTTCCATTAATCGCCAGACTGCTTCCTTTCTAAGCAGAGGAGGAGGGGACGCTCTTTGTGGACCAGGCACAAAGACCTCAGACAACCGTTCCCACAAACATATATGTATGTGTATTCAGACATATGTATTACACCCAGACTACACATGGAAACACGGACGCACACACATCCTTAAAAAGCTTCCCATCGACCCCGCTATCTTCCTGTATCTTTCTCTTTTTTGCAGCCAAATTCCCGGTACCTGGCACTGATTTGTTCTTAGTGGGCACTTGATTCAATTGAACTGAATGGGAATCTGATCCAGGCCAAATCCTTTGTTTAATGGAGGACAAACCCAGCAGGGCTGGAAGGAAACGGCACCGCTAGTGTTAAGTCCGAGCTCAGCTCAAGCCACCGTCGTCGGTTTCCCTTCAAGGCTAGCCCACCTTCCATTATGCCACATTGTGAGTCTTCACGTGCCCGGGCGCATCCCACGTGTGTCTCCTTAGGTGCACACTCTCTCCCCATCAAAGCCTTTCCAGGATTCTTGCCTCTTTATTGCCACAGAGCCAGGCAAGAAGGAAGACCAGCCTCCCTTTCCGCTGCCTTTTACATGTACACCAGTTTAACTTAGGCGATCAGTGGTCAGGCTCTTCCACACCGGGTTAAAAGACCAGAACCAGTTACAGAATATCAGCGTATGCTACAAATCAGAGAGTGGGGCGTTTCCGTTACATGTCATCATGCCTTCCCGTTGGCTGGCTCTGCAGCCTCTTCCAGGAGGGAACTGCATCAGGCGAGCAAGCAGGCTGGGCATGCACATCCGCCCTATTACATATATATACATACAAACCTAAATATGATAGGAGGGAGAATCAGCCTCGTTATACACACATACATTTGTATGCGTATGCGTATAGACATGTGTGTATGTATACACATGTATGTATTGTGTAATGGGGCTGCTTCTACATTCTATCAATGGAGGTCTGTGCATATTTTCACATATAGGTTACGTGCATATATATGCACACGTACACAAACTTCTGGAGAGTAGGAACTGTCTCACTTTTGTCTTTTCCTACTGCCTGATACATAGACATTTAATAAATATGTGTTGATTAATTGATTCAGAGAAGAGAAAGAAGAGAATTTATTTGCCATAGAGCAATAGATTGGCATGCTTTTCCCAGACCTAATATTGTTTTGATTTTCTCACCCTAGAATGTCAGGGCTGGGCTGAGGTATTTTTGATTCGATCAGTCCTCGTTCCCTGCAAGTCTGGATTTTTGGATTTTGATAGCTGGGTACATAGTGGATAGAGAGATGAACTAGGGATCAAGGAGACTTGAATTTGAATCCTACCTCAGACTCTGATAAGCTATGCAACCATAGGCAAATCGCTTACTCTTAGCCTCAGTTTCCTCATCTGTAAAATGAGGATTAATAATAGCATCTACCTTAGGTGGTTGGGATATCCTTAAAACGTTAAGCTTAAAACTGCAGGAAGACTTTAAGGATACCCTATGTATGTAAAGTGTTTTTCAAACTCTAAAGAGCTATATGAATGTTAGCTGATATTATTATTTGATTTTTCCCCCATGGTTGGTATTGGGGAGGCTCTGGACTTGGACTGGGTCCAGATGGTCAGATGGCAAGAGGTCTATTGTCTGAACCTGCAGTGGTTATAATCCCTATGGTATCTGAATCCTTTCTAAATCTAATGTTCTATAATATTAACTTATTATATAACACTTTAAGGTTTGCAAATCACTTTCCTCAGAACAAACCAGTGAGGTAGTAATATTATCCCCATTTTTTGGTTGAAACTATTAAGGCTCTGGGATTTTGTGATTTACCTATTTTTCCATATCTAGTAATATACAAGCCTAGAGCAGAACCCAGATCTCCCAGTCCAATGTTCTGTCCATTATGCTCACATTGGGACAGTGTGAGGTACTTTTGTGACTGAAGTGGAGTGAGCTTCCTTCCAAACTCCTCACACACCCGACCTGCCTCCCCACATCTCGTTACAGCCCTGAGAAACGACCAGAGCTCAAGACAAGACAAAGACAGACAAAGAAATGGAAAATGGGGGGATGGAGAGAGAGGGATAGAGAGGAAACTAGATGTCAGAGGCTCTGAGAGAAAGACAGATAAAAATCAACCTAGAACTAAGAACAAGCAGAAAATTAGAAAGTAATAGAAACTGAGAGGGAAATACAGAAAGATAAGGACTGAGGAGAGAAAAGAAAACTTTGTCAGTCATTTGGCATGTGCTTGTCAGTGTAAGCATGTCTCTCTTAGGTATCTTCTGCCCCCAACTTTGAGCTGCAGTGAAGGCATAACAGAAGAGGTTTGGAGGTAAGGATGGCAGACCCTGCCAAAGGGGTGTGTGTCTTTGTGTGTGTGTGTGAGAGAGAGAGAGAGAGAGAGAGAGAGTAGGGGATATGGGGGGCATTATTTAAGGGCTATGGAAGGGTCTTTTCCGGGGGGGGGGCATCTAGGTTAGAATGGTGGGAGAGATTGACTTCTATGCCCTTTAGCCTGGGTAGGAAAGAAATCAAAACTAGGAGGTGGAGGTCAAGAATTTAGTTCACCTGGGCCAGGGGATTTGAATTCATCAGTTGGTGCTCCCTTACTAGCTCCTTATTTATCTTGATTTTCAACTCTCTATTAGCCATTTTTCTTATGTCATTTTGCAGGGCAAAATGTCTCTTGCTTCTCTCTGTTATCAGATATCATTGTCCCATCTGTCCCCATTGCTAGGCCTATACCTTCTTGCATCTTCCTTTTTCTCCATTGTAGCTAAAACAAAACAAAACAAAACAAAACCCAACAACTATTTTTTTTAACTCATATGTACAAAAATATTTATAGCAGCTTTTTGTGGTAGTATAGAACTTGAAACTAAAAGGGTGACACTCATCTCTTGGCAAATGACTGAACAAATGATTATATATGAATATAGTGGAATATTATTGTGTCAGAATAAACAATGAAAGGGACAGTTTCAGAGAAACCTGGGAAGGCTTTTATGAAATCATGAAGAGGAAAAGTGAGAGAACTAAATTTTGCATAAATTTGCATTAAAAATTTCTATGCAGTTTGACACATGTGCAGATGTTTCTAATGTGTCTCAGCTTTTGGTATTTGCTAGAATCCTCTTAATAATGGAATCCATGTTTGTGAGCTTCTAAAGGACAGATGTACCAGAGGAGTTATTTTCTTAGCAGTATATGCTTTCTGGAAAAAAAAAACCTCAGCAAATGTTTTATGGAAATAATTATGTAAGTGTAGCAAGCAACTACTCTGGTTGGCATAAAGAAAGGATTCCCGGGTCACAGTAAACACACATGAAATTTATTCACTCCATGCCATTGTAGCTAAGAGGCTGGAAGCAGAGGGGCACAAAGTTTAAAGGAGGTTATTGAGGTGGATCAGTTAAGGGAAAAGGCCAGATTAGATGGTGCAGTGGATGGAGCACTAGGCCTGGAGTCAAGAAGACTCATCTTCCTGAGTTCAAATCCAGCCTCAGACACTTATGAGCTGTGTGACCCTGGGCAAGTCACTTAACCCTGTTTGCCTCAGTTTCCTCATCTGACAAATAAGCTGGAGAAGGAATTGGCAGACCACTCCAGTATCTCTGCTAAGAAAACCCCAAAACGGGTCACAAAGAGTTGGATACAACTGAAAAATGACTAAACAACAGTAAGATTTAATGGAGACTAGACCTGTAATGTTAGAATCTTTGCAATACTTTGTAAAGAGAATGACTGTGGAAATCTTTTGTACCTTAGAGGTTCACTGGGTAACTTATGGCAAAACACGTGAGTTGTCAAACTTAAAGGTAATGTATGAATTTATCTTTTACAAAAAGGCAAGTGTTTCAAATGTCCTAACCTTTTCTGTGATGACAAGTAGCTGTCAACAGTATGTTACCCACCAGATATAATTTTTAAAAGGCACACCTAATCTGTCTCTCCTGCTATTTTTCAAAAAATGAATGAGAAAGTAGCTGCTTTTCAAAAGAAAGTTGTGGTATGGAGAAAGCATTTTGAAAATAGATATTTGGAAATGCTTCCACCTTTTTTGTGATTTTGTTGCCAAAAATGTCACCTACAAAAACTCTTAATTGCAAATGTAAAAAAGTTGAAAATAGAATTTTCTAATAACCCATTTAAAAATCTTCCAAAGAGTTTCAGTGAGTTTTGAATTCATTCATTAAACGTTTAAACATTCAGTACCTTCTAGTGTTTAAGAACAACTGAATGACATCAGGGAAGAGGGAAATCTACCACGTTATTTTTAATAACAACCTTTGCATTAATTGGTGGATGGAATTGAAAAATGAATGTCATGATTTATTGAGGCCAACCACTTCTATTTGGATCTAATTATCTATGTGAGGTATCATTTTAGCTATGACAGCCATTAAAACCAAATTTTAAAAAAGTAAAATTAAAACTGAGATAACTTGAATTTAATAAATAAAAATTGAGATAACTTGAACTTAGAACTAGACCTTTAAATTGCTGTATTACAAATAGAAAAAAAAACACATTCCATAACACTGCTCTCATTAAAATAAGAATAATTTTAATATATAAATAAACTTTTTTGGAGTACAAGCACCCATCGCTAGTGGGTTACATGATCAAAAAAATGTAGAGACCAGTTCTCTCTGGAATCTAGCTTGATGTAGATATAGTGATACACACATATATGCAGGAATTTCTTTTTCCCTCTCTATATATTTGTATACAGATGTATACGGGTAGTTTTCCTTCTTTCCCATCCTTTAAAAAATGCTTTTGAGTTAGATAGGCAAGACACTTAGTTAAACATTCTTCCCAGCCTTTTTAAAAGGTGTCCTCGATCCCTGTCCAGGAATCTGTCATTCTTTTACTTTAAATTGTGATCCAAAAGTTCAAGTCTTTCCTCAGACACCAACTTCTCAGCCATCTTCTTAAACCAGTTTCTCTCTTCTGCATCTTTCGCTTTCAACATACAATGAGAAAAACACAACTTATGCCCCTGTAGTCTTCAGTTTCTTGGCCAGCATTTCATAATCTTTGGTAATTTCTTTTTAGTCCTTTCCAGCAATATCATTTGTGCCCAAACAAACATTGAAGCGACTGCTATGCGCACTGGGGATACAAAGAAAAAAAATAATCTTTGTCATTGAGCATACACAAACTACTGATGGAATCAGGCAAGGCTTGAAGTAGGTGCCACTAGGGTGGACCTTAAACAATGACATGGATTCTGGGATATAGAGATGAGGAAGGAGTGGACTCCAGGCCTGTGTAAATATACAGTCAAGAGACCGAATGTTGAGTTAAGAAATAACTAGTAATCTAGTGTGGACAGAAGGCAGAGTTCATGGAAGGGGATTGATGGAATATAAATCAAGAAAGATACATTGGAGCTGGATTGTAAAGAAGTAAAACTCTTGGAGTGGACAGAGGGGCTGGAGTCAGAGAACCGGGTGTGGATCTCTGCTGTTACTTATGACTAGTGTGACTGGGCAAATCAATTCCTTTGTACTCGTTTCCTTATCCATAAAAGGAAAGGTGTGAACAAAATGACTTCTGAGGTCCCTTCCAACTCTAAATCTATGAAAAGCCTCACTGAACACTTTATATTTTATCCAAAAACAAGAGTTCTTACTTTTTGTTGTTGTTTTGATCATGGAAAGCTTTGGCAGTCTAAGTAAAGCCTTGGGATCCCTTCTTAGAATAATGTTTTTAAATGCATAACATACATAGGGTTACAAAGGAAATCAATTATGTTGAAATATCAATTTTTTTAATAAAAGTTCAGAATCCAGGTTAAAAACTTCTGTCCTATAGGAAATAGGGAACCACTACAGGTTTTTGAATGGTGGTTAAGATGTGGTAAGTCTTGTGCTTTAGGAAAATTACTTTGGAAGTTGCGTTGTGGAAAGACTGGCAAGCTAAAAGAGTGGAAGTCTAGGAGACCCATTTGAACACTATTACAATAGTCTAGGTGAGAGATTATGAGAGATTGACTTATGTGGTAACTTAGGATGGTGTAGAAGGAGAGAGAGGGATGGATCAGAGAAACATCTTGGAGGTAGAAAAGAGAGTCATGTTTGGAGATAAGGGGGAGTGAGGCCACCTGTTCCTTTAACAGCCAAGCCCTGGCTATGTACTCATGCTTTTATCAGAATTTTTTAGGTGTTGAATGCCCTTACAAGTGGTCTTCAGGGCTCCCAACATCGACAGATTCAAAATTGTTATCAAGATTATCGAAGGATCATATCTCACTGAGGCTGGACAGAAAGGAAAAATAAGAGCTAACTTTAAACGGAAAGGATTGCTTTGTGAGGCAGCAGGCTCCACAATCATTGGATATTTTCAGTAGAGGGTGGTTGACTGCTTTTTTGGGGAGGGGGGTATTTTTGGCAGGGATCACCAGGAGACCATGGGTTGAATTTGATGCTCTGCCAATTATGATCCACCAGAGGGATGGAGTTGACAAAGCCAAACAAGTGGAGCCCATACAATCCCAGGAAGTTCAGAGGACAAGCATTTAAGTACCTACTGTGTGCCAGGCACTGTGCTAAGCACTTTACAAATATCTTATGTAATTCTCACAATGCTGGGAAGTACTATTATCATCCCCATTTTACAATTGAGGAAACTGAGGCAGGCAGAAGTTAAATGGCTTGCCCAAGGTCACATAGGATGCTAGATTTGAACTCACATCTTCCTGACTTCGGGTCCAGTGCTCTATATTAACTCTACCACCTGGCTGCCTCTAGTGTGGCAGAATATGCTCCACACACACCTGAGTCAAGCAGCACCAACTGGTTTCTTTGGAAAATGGAGAAAAGAAGTTATCGCCAACACTTGCCAAGGTTCTAGGACTGGTTTTGACACTTAGTTGTATGATGTTAGTAAGGCACATTCCTCCCCAAGAAGACTCATTTTTTTTTAAGACTCATCTCTCTGCTTGTGTAAAATGTGTGTGCCCATCAGAGTTTGAAAACTGGCTTAGATGCTTACTAGAAGTCTCTTCAAGTCAGTTTTCCTATCCGTAAAATGAGGTAATAACTTGCAGAATCTGCCTCACAGGGCTGTTGTGTTGCATAACCCTAGTGTTATAGAAGTGAGGGCTATTAATAGTGAGAGAAGCTGCAGCATAGTAAGGAGATCCAGTCCCAGCATGTTTTCTGGGACAAGATGGTCCTGATTTTTAACACTCATTTCCATGCATACCAGCTGAACTTACATTCTTTGACCTAGAACCTCTGGTTTCCCCCTCCTCCCCGCCCCCACTACTGGCTTAGGGTGAGGGTGCATCCAAGGGAACTCTTAAGGTGCAGGAGATACAGGTACTAACTCAGACAAAGGTTTAAGCATGAGGAGAGAGAGTATTATAGGGAGATGACTCCTGCCCCTTGGTTGTACTGCTAAGTTTAAAGCCTACTAATCTTTCAAGATTCAGCTAGACTCACCCTCTATCAAGAAAGCTCTGAAAGCTAGATTGTAAACTCTCTTCAGCCCAGGGACTGTCACTCTTCTCTGCATATCTGTCAAGGTTTTTGCCCATAGTAGGAATTCAATAAATGCTTAAAACACTTCTGGGTCCTCAGATTGCCCTAAACAGACATTGGAATTGGGCATATGGGTTTTAATGGAAACTTTCCAATCAAAACATTTATTAAGTGCCTGCTATGTGTTAGGCACTGTGTTAAGCATAGGGAATACAAAAAGACAAAAGACAGTCTTTGCCTTCTAGGAGGTTACAATCTAACAGAAGAAACAAATAAATACATACAAACCAGCTACATATAGGATAAACAGGAGATAATTAACAGAGGGAAGGCACTAGAATTAAAAGGGCTTAGGGAAGGCTTCCAGAAAAGGGGAGTTTAGTTGGGACTTCAAAGGAAGCCAGGGAGGTCAGCAGGTGGAGTGGAGGAGGGAGAGCATTCCAGCCATGGGGCACGGCCACAGAGAATGCCTGGAGCCAAGAGATGGAGTGTCTTGTTTGTGAAACAGCCAGGAGGCCAGTGTCACCAGATCGAAGAGTATGTGGTGGGAAGCAAGGCTGGGAAGTCAGGAAGGGGCTAGGTTGTGAAGGGCTTTGGATGTCTAATAGCATTTTGTATTGATCAGGGAGGCAACTGAGAGACACCAAGTGTTACACAGTGTTTGCGTATGTAATGTGGCCAGACCTGTGTTTTAAGAATATCACTTTGGTGGCTTATAACTGTCCTCCATCCCCCTACTCAGAACTAAAACCAGTCCAGTGGGTATTTTCCTATTTTAGAATTCAAATGTGAACTGACCCAGTCCAGCTAAATTGGTGGTTCTCACCTTTTTGGGAGAGGACACTCACGGTAGCTTGATTAGGTGTCATGAGTCCTGAAATGCTATGGGCTTCATATTTTAAAAATAAAGATGAATTAAAGTGAATTGTTTTTTGAATTCGATAACACTCTTCCAAGGAGAGCACAAAAACCCAGATGTAGAATACCAGCTCTAGAGTGGGTGGCCCACAAATCCTGCTGCTCAAAGTGAACAAAAATTGGCTAAAAACACTCCTGTCCACACAGGGATCAAGTAAGGAATGGAAAGAGTTCAGCTGGAAGGAATGAGACTCTAACCAAAAGCACACAGGGAATTAGATAAGAATCTCCTTAAAATTTAATTGACTAAATGTGTTACATTCAGTTTCCATGTGTTTCTTCTGGACAAAGAATCGGCATAAATACAAACAAGCTTCTGTGCCTTCTCTAACAAAGAGATAAAATACTTGAGAGGAGGGAACAGAGTTCACATCTTCATATTTACATGTTGTCTTTACTTTACAACTTAGTGCCAGAAATATTTACAGAAAATACAATAACAAAAAAAAAGATCATGTCTTGGCAACATACAGAAGTTCATACAAATTGTATTGTGATTTCAAGCAAATATTGGCTACTGCTCACTGCCAGCCACAACTACAAAGCCTGAGAAAGACACCCTCTATTCACTTCTAGAGAAAGTCTTGAAATGTGAAATTTCAAATGACACCCTTTTTTCTTACCATTTAATAAAGAAAATTAGTTCAGGGACACAAGTTGAGAGAGTGACTATTATATGTGAAGCAGATGTACCCATCTGCTGAGAAACTGTTTGATTCAATGTTCTATGAGTGGTATTTCCTAAGATTTGTCTTTGCAGCAGCTCTCTAAATACAGAAAGCATTTAAGATGGTTTAAATGCACAAAACAATACTTTTAGGAAGATATAATCCAGTGCTTAAATGGGACTTGAAATTGTTTTTAAATAGAAAAATTTAATTGCCAGATAGGTAAGTAATGTCGAATTCTCTGATATCACAAAATTATATAATCTGCCATCCAGGTCAGTTGTACTCACCATTCTGAGTAAAATTTAACCTTCCAATAATATTAAGTTATACTGATGCATTTGGGTACTTGAAAAACAAGTACTTCCCAACAAATGCAAAAGAGGTAACAGTTTGTGAAGGCCTCGTATCCTGGCCAATCTGTAGCCAACACATATTATTTACCATTATTAACTACTTTGCATTTCTTGAAAGGGTATTGGTAGAGGAGAAGGATGGACACAACTCCTCAGAATAGAAAATGCTAAAAGGAGAAGAGAAAGAAAAATGTCACAAAATTATATTGTCTACTGTAGGAATGGTAAAGAGAGGAAAGAACAAATAAAATAGACCAAGAGGATAAGTAGCCAAGAAAGGTGTTAAAAGCACAGGAAAACTGACCGGTCATCCCCACTCATCTTCAGAGCTGCTGAATAAACTGCTGCAATAAACCTGGAAGTTTATTCCAAAAGACATCTTAACAGTAATTTACCTTCAGAAAAGCGTGTGTGTGTGTGTATGTACATGAACATGTGCTACAGAGGTTGTCCTTAGAACTGAAATTCTGTAACTCTACCCTATGTTCATGTAACGCACTCATCCTCCAGGGGAGGTCAAACAGTCCATTAGCTACCTGTAGTAAAGTCACGTATGGTGACTAAATATATTTTTAAGACAAATATATTATAGATGAAGTAAACTAAAGTAGCTTTTGAGGTCCAAAAGTGGTTATTGAGCATATGCAGAAAAATTCAATTATATGGAATAGTAAAGACTTCTATGTGACAACTGAGCACATGCATTGGCCATTTAATCAGTGAACTAAATATGCTTCCCACAGGCCTAATATTAACCAGAGTGATTTGTGTATAGTAAAGACAGTGGGTGAGTGTAGTGATCATGCACTCCCACCAACACTGTGCTGAAATCCAGAGATTTTGATCAGAAAGTTCCCCTACGGCCACAGCAGTTACTTTTACCTGACCTCCAGGCACTAAGGCAGAACTCATGTCTGTTTTTGCTTATGATGCAGATTTTGGGTTTTTAGATTTTCAGAGAGGTTACTGAGCCCCACTGTTTTCTTTCCACTAACAGCATGCATACAATACTCCTTTTCCACAAACATGACATTCTCCATGGCTTATTCATTTATTTGAGAGGGAAATTATGTAGAAATGCTAGTAAAAAGAAGTGGAGTCAGGAACATTTTCTTTTTCATGAATACAGACTTTCCTGACATCAACACTATTGCAAAAATTAAGTTTTATTTGAAGAATATTGCATAAGCATGACATTAGTCAATTACCTTTAAATTTTAGGATTTCAAAAGTTCTAAGTCAGTACTGTAGTCTTCTTGACTTATTAAACTGAAAGATAAGACCAGTTTTTCCTTGCAATGTGCAAACCCCTGTTGTCCCGTCGAGATTTCCCACAAACAGCCAATTAATTTTTATGGTAGAACAAACTTATTATGCTTCCCTTGCTACATGAGCAATTTGGAAATGTCTAATTCTAGCTTGGCTGGAAAGGAAACAGTCATTAGAATTGTATTATACTAGTGGGGGAAAGCTGGGTTAGTAAAAAGAAATGACCTGGATACTAAGGAAGAGTTTAAAAAACAAAACACTGCAGAGCAAACTTGGAAACAAAAGCCGTCAGATTCACATTTCTGCCTACAGATGGCAAACTGCATACCTTACTGAATAATATGAAGTGGACCTGAGCAGGGGAAGGTGGGTGGTTAAAAACTAAACTAGACAGAAAACCAAACAGAACACTGTATCTACCAACTATGCTTTGTGTAAAAGTGAACAAATTCAACGGAAAGTAGTGTGATCAATCTCCTCTGAATTTGAATTGGTTATTTAAATACCTGAAGATAAAATAATCACCAATAAATAATAAAGGGAAGAAAAGAGGAAGAATATTGTCTTACCCTGCTCTAGGAATTGCTATAAGGATACTGTGAATCCACCTAAAATCCTTCATCATAGGAAGAACAGTAAAAGTCAGGTGGATGGGGGGGATGTCTACAATCACAATAGGGATTTTAATGTGTAGCATGTCTTCAGATTAGCAAAGGCTAGAACACAAAACAAATGACAAACAGAAACAATTTCTGTAGGAACCCAATAATGTAGTTATTAATGCTGAGGACATTCCTGGATAACAGGCAATTACTTTTTGCAATACAAACTGACTCAGTGAAGTTTAGTTTATACTTTCAAAATTCATAATTACGCATTCATAATATACATTTTTCTGTTGGGTCCTGACATTAAAAACAGATCATACATAAATCCAAACAATTTTCAACAGTAGTTGTGAGCTGAAATTTATTGAAACCAACAAGTAATCTTGTAACATTTCAACTCTTCTTTCCCAGTGTTTTACAAACACTTTTCTTTCTACTACGCTGAACTGGACACAAGTTGAATGATGAATTTTCACTTGTTTTTCTACACTGCCAGGAAATGAAGAAAGCAGAACTTCCACCCTGGATGTGATCCTGACAGGCTCCTTTCTGTGGTAAATAGTGGTTGTTTTTAGACAGATGGTCTGTATAAATGAGTAGAATGATGGTGACATTGACATATTTGTTATTTTTTATACATGAAGATGAATATTTGAAGATGAATATTTGAATGTCAGACCTTTAAAAATATCTGCACAAGAGATATTTATGGGTTCTTCTTTTTGTAAAGCTGATGGTAGAATAAAAGGCTAGAATTCTTCTCACTTTTCTCCCCAGCACAAGCAACTCCAGATTTGGGGAATCAGTCATTTGAGATTTTAGGAGAGGAACCAATTTGGTACTGAACCTCCTGGAAAAATGAGCGGTGTAAGACTATCTCCGACTGCCAGTTTAGAAACCACTTCATGTGCTATTCCTCTTTTCTTGATGAACACATTTATCAGAGCTGTTTACAGTTTCTCTCGAAATGTACTATTTAAGTAAAACTGTCATTTTAAAAAAGAAAGTTGTATTGGATAAAATTTATACCACTCTATTGAGGGGTTTATGATTGTGTTTGGGAGACCTCCTCTCACCAGAAAGCAGAAAATCTTCTTAAGTTATATTTAGAATAGTGTCTCTTCTGTTTCGGTGATTGAAAGATAAGCTTTTTTTTTTTTGGTGGTGGTGGTACTTTTCTTCTCCAAGTCAATACTAGTAACATATTTCCATTGTTCCCTCTGGTAGCCACCAATCTCTGATCTAATAGCTATCTTTGGAGGACCTTGGTTTAAGAATCGCAGTTCTTGAGCCCAACCTCCTGGAAAAGTGAAGTATAAAATTCTGGCTCTAGCTGCTTATTTCTGTATTTATTGACAATATCTGCAATCTTCTGTTTTCGTCGCACGTGTGGAGGATTGTAGGAGTCACTCTCTAGCCTCTTTCTTCTACAAATATTTATTACAGTCTGCCTTACTAAGAAACCTTAAAAACAAAAAGAATTTTTAAACAAATGTTAAAAGTCATCTGTGTATACTATCAGAATTAAGTTAAAACATTTTTTTGGGGGGGGGGAAATTCCCTTTTTTTTTTTTTGGGCTAGGCAATGGAGTTAAGTGACTTGCCTAGGGTCACACACCTAGTAAGTGTTATGTGTTGGAGGCTGGATTTGAACTCAGGTCCTCCTGAATCCAGGGCTGGTGCTCCATCCACTGCACCACCTAGCTGTCCCTACATTTTTATTTTGTAAACACCTTTGCAATACTTAATTCTGTCTGTGACATTTTAAATCCTCCTAAGGACCAATACAGCACTTCTGAGATAAAGCTCACTGAAGAGAGCAACTAAAAGGGATATAATAAAATCAAAATATCTTCTAATTTTCTCTATCAAGTCCTGGGGTACAGCTACTTTTATTTAAGAGCTATATATCCCGAGTTATATTTTCCCTTGCTTTCACTCATAGGAAAAAGAAAAGCTTAAACACCTTTCTCACTTTACCTTTTTATTAGCAGCAGTAAAAAATAATCATAGCTGTCAGCTCAGCATGATCACTTTCTCCTTTATAGTCTATAAAAAGGCAGTGAAAAGAACAATGAATTGGTGGGGTCAGAAGGCCTAAGACCAAGTCCTGGCTTTGCCATTAACAAACTTGTGGAACCCTGAACAAGTCCCTTGCCCTTACTGGGTCTTAGTTTTTTCTTTGTAAGAGAATTGGGAAGGATAAGAAGAGTGTGAGTTGGTATTTTTAAGGTCCATTAAAGCTTTAAAATGCTATGGTCCTATGGTAAAATAAGTTATAATTTTTTATGCTTAGTATTTAAAGTCCTTACCAAGTGCTCTCCTGCTGACAATCATCCCATCCACCAGTGGGATGACCATGTTAAACTTTCCAGTAGCTCCTTGAATTTTTATTCTGAATAATCCAGTTTTTAGAGGGTGGATGAAAATGACAGGAACTTCTTTTTCAAGGGTGGCTGATGATCTTAAAGAGGGAAAAAAGGGAACAAACTTGTTAAACTAGATAAAACATAGGTGTGTTACCAGTAAGCTTAAAGAAAGGAGTTAATGTCTTTCCATAACATAGTAACTGCCTACAAGGAGTGACTGGGAGGGTATCAGCAGGCCCTGCCTGCTGGAAACAACCCTCCATGACTTCCATGGTAGTATGCTTGGCTCTTTTCCCATTTTTTTCCAGCTGGACAAAAAGAACTGATGTATTATGATTATCTTTAGAAAGGGTTTGGTAAAAAAGGAGCTGGGAGTGGGGATTCACATGTAGTAAAGGAGGTTTGTTTAAAAGTTCTTTCATTAACACTGTTAAGGGAAAAAACCAAAAATCTGGCCTTCCAGAGGAATGGAGCAAATGGATAATTAGGTTTCAATCAGCAACTGCAGTTTTAACTTAAAGGAAAAGTGTGGCACCCCATGAAGGAAAGAACCTGGCAGGGAAGGCACCTCCATCCTGAAGTGATATCTTGAGGGAGGGGTGGAAAGTGCTAAAGACAAACTTCACAATATTTCTTGGACAGTGTCTCCACACAGATAAATCCCATGAAAGAGGTTTTATTGTCAAAGTGGCCAGATATGTCCCAAAGTATCATGAGAAAAATGACATCTCAATGAAAGGATACCTTACTTGAAGAAAACCTGGAAAAGATGTGATCTACAAAGATAAATGAAGGGCAGTTATTTGTGGGATAGAAGGGCTCTTCATTTTGTAAATTCCTCTAAGTTTAAAGCAATCTGATTTACATTTAATTTACACAAACATTTTCAGGACCACACCTATTATATGAGGCAATGTTACCAATTTGAAGGTTCAAGTCATTTCTTGGTTACTGCAAGCTAATTTCCTTTTTTTCAATAGGGTCAATCAAAGTAATAGGAGATGAAGGGGATTTAGACAAAACATACTTCAAAAGTAAACTCCTGCCAAAAAAAAAAAAGGTGCCCTTTTACCCATGTGAAATCCAAATTCTGCCACTTTGGCAACAAAAGCAACACTTTCCCCTGCAAAGCACTGCAGCAGTTGAGTGTCTGGGCTCGAAGGGCAGCAAAGGCACAGGAAGGGAATGGCTCCTGCATGAGCACAGCCTACCTCAGAGAAGTGCTGCTGTTCAGAGTTGTTTCTACACCAGTGCTGATCTCTGACATCAGATCAGAAAGGGGAAAGTTTTCTGCAAGAAATCAGCATTTGATCACAATTATGATTTTGCTACATCTCTGCTTACTTGAAAGTGAATAAAACCCAGCATGTTTTACTTAGTTCCTAAACAACAGACAATAACAGAATAGCAAAAAAAGCCGCCAATCAAACCAAACAATAAAACCTTTTATGAAGCTTCCAAGCAAGGTCAAGACAGGCTTAGGTTAATTAATTCATGGCTCCAAATGGGTTATTCAAAAGGGATATTGATGGGATAATCTAACCTTTGGGGACCTCAAAGAGCACCTTTGGAACCTTCCCATAAAATACTGCTTGGCCACAGTCTGAAAAAGAGCACTGAGTTCAACAGACCCACTGGTCTGACCCCACATGCATTTGTTATGCTCTTATGTAGTTTATATGACTGTAAGGAGAAAATTATGTACAGCTACAAATGAAAAAGGAAAAAAACCTCCCAAACTTTTAAACTCTACCATGACTTCTCACCTCCCAACCAATATAAGGAGAAATATTCATAAAAAGAAGTCCCAGGGAAAGCTTATGTGAACCAATACAGAGTGAAGTAAGTAGAACCCAGACAACAATGTACACAAGGAGGACAATGTAAACGGACAGAACACAGTGATAATTACCACACTGGCCCCCAAAGTGAGCCTGCCTCCCTTCCCTGGAGATGCTGGGGGGCAGGGGAACAAAGACGGTGTTGTCAGGCCTCCATACACCGACAGATGTGGGGGATGTTGCTTAGTTTTGCTGAACTGTTTATTTCTTTTTTAATCTTTATTTCAAGGGAAGGCTTGCTGGGGAGGGGAGGGAGCAGAAGGGATATATTTGGAAATGAAGGTAATGTTAAAACAAAAGGCATCAGCTATTTTAAAAAGGTTCCATGGGGTAAAGGTGGAAAAAAGCTTTCTTCTCTTTCTCTTTATGGGTGTTTGAAGAAGAACTGGGGAATTTTTTGTAGAGCAGCAATTTTATTTTATTTTTTTAGGTAATTGGGGTTAAGTGACTTGCCCAGGGTCACACAGCTAGTAAGTGTGTCAAGTGTTTGGTCTGGGGCCAGATTTGAACTCAGGTACTCCTGATTCCAGGGCCAGTGCTCTATCTACTGCGCCACCTAGCTGCCCCTACAGCAGCAATTTTAGTTGAAGCATCAATTGTGGCAAGATGAACTTTAAAAAAATTGAAAAAAATGTTGTTCTTACATCACCTTAATTTCTAAATATAACTCTCTCCTATCCAGAGTGTCATCCCTCATAATGAAGAAAAAAAAGTTCAGTAAAACTTACCAATACATTAACTGAATATGTCAGAATAAATAACATTAAGCACCCAAAAATCTTTCACCTCTACAAACAAGGGGAAAAGGGGCATCTTCTTATCTCTTCTTGAGGGGCAAGCTTGATCATTATTAATTACACAGCACTCAGTTTTGGTTTTTTTCTTTTCATTTTACATTGTTGTAGCATTTAGTATATATTGTTTTCCTGGTTTTGCTTCCTTCACTTTGCATCAGTTCAAATAAAAAGTTTTCCAAGCTTCTCTGAATTCTTCATGTTCATCTTTTCTTATGGCAACATAATATTCTATTACATTCACATAATAAAAATAATGACAATAACTAAAAGTACATAATCACTTTAAGGTTGGTCAAGTGTTTTATATGAGTTCATCATTTGAGCCTCACAACAAATCCGTGCAGCAGGTGCTAGTAATACCCTCATTTTACAGATGAGGGAACTGAGAACAGAGGTCCAATGACGCTGGCAAGTGTCTGAGAGAGAAGGTGAACTCAGATCTTCTCGACTCTAGCCGCTATACTACCTAGCTGGCACTAATTATTGCATCATAATTTGTTTAATCATTCCCCACTCAGCTGGCATCTAGTTTCCACTTCTTTGTTGCTACATGCGGTGTTCTACAAATATTCTGATGTCTATGAGGTCTTTCTAACTTTGACTTCCCTGAAATACATGTCTTTGAGGGGCGTCTCTTAGTGAAAAGGGCACATACGGACACTTTAAATCACTCAGCATAATTCTAAATCACTTTCCAGAAAGGTTAGAGACCATTTTGCAAGCTCCACTAACAATGTATTAGTGTACCTGCCTTTCCCATAACTGTTCTAACATGTTTTTCCATCTTTTGACATTTTTATGGTATATGCCTTTAAAACTTCTTACTTCAAGGATCCATCTGAATCCTCCCTCCACCACAACTCCCTGTACAATTTTAATAGACAGTTTTGTGTATTGCTCCAAACCCCTCAACGCCAGCTTTGGAGGACGGCCTATCCTGCTCTGAGCCTCTGCAGGCTGGCAGGACCTGCTCCAGCTTGTGCTCTGCAAGGATATGTCATCATGAGGCAGTGCTTTAACAGAAGCTTTTAAAAAATGTGATGGAAAATTTCCCCAAGTCACCGTTACTGGTGCTATGTTGTTACATTTAGACTTACAAAGAAAAACCTGATACTCTTACCTATGTCATCATAACGTTCAACCCAGACAACAGACACCTTAGTCTCTGGTCCCATTGGTGGAACAGTTCGGCCCTGAGGCAACTTCTTTAGACGGGAAGTAGGACTTAACTATAAGTGGGAGAGAAAAGAAAATGAATTACAAAGGAGTTTACTCCTTGATTAATTGGCAAAGTAAAATTTGTTAATAGTGATTCGTTTATTAATAGGAGCAATTTAAGTCAATATTTATTCATCTTTCTATGTGCAGAAGAAGACTATGCTGGACACGTAGGGTAAATTCAAAGTTTAGGTAAGATATGGTCCCTGCTGTCACGGAGTACATATAGTCTATTAGGGAGAGATGACATAAATTCAGATAACTCTAAAATGAAATAATACATAAATGCATCAGTGAGATTTAACATAAAGTGCTGACTAAAGAAATCTAGTTCTATAAGAAGGAAGGTTTGAGAAGAATCTTAGCCAATTCCAGGCTCCCAATCAAGACATAATTAGGAGATTGCTGAATGTATTGATAAGCAAATATATGATTATGTCTTATGTATAAGGCACTGTTTAATGCTGTAAACCATGCAGGAAAACATATGTTGTAGATTGAAGAGAGGGAAGCAGAGGACATTTGATAAAAAGGACAGTGCCAAAATATTAGCTATAAACATACAATTATTAGTTATAAATCTACAAACACTATAAGTGTTTGAAAACATACTAATACATTGCCTTACCTTCTGAGAGGAATTAAGATTGTCTGTATGATTAGGGAAAAGTTCAAGGGTAAGTGATGGTTGTTTTAGTATTCCAGGCAGAAGATCCATATTTGAATCACTTTCTTGGTCTGAGACGTTGCTTTCTACTGAATCAGCTGCGGAGTATAACAATAACAACAACAATAATGACAAATTTGCTAATTTTTTGAGCCAAAAGAGTTAAAAATTACATATGTCAATGACTGCATTAACTTAACCTCCCAAGACAATGCATTAAAAATGCCCATTCATTTATTATTTTTGGAAAATATTTTAAATAGGTCTGTAAAGAGGCAGAGGAAGGTCAATTTTGAGTAAAATGAAAGCTTCTCAAAAGCCAGGGCTGTTTAGTTTTTAAGTCTTTTTATCCTCAGTGCCTAAGCACAGTATTTAGCACAATATTAACAGGCATTTAGTAAATGTTTTTTGAATTGAAAACACAAAATCTTGTTTCAAAGACTTACTTTATTGTTTAAATAATATAAAATATTAGATATATTCAGAAATACTAGGGCTAAAATAATTCCATAATATATGAATATTAATTCAATCCAATTCACATTTAATAAGTAGCTCCAGTACGCCAGGCAACTGTGCTAGGAGAGGAAAACAAAAGTGTGTGACCCAGAATTTTAAGAGCTTGACAGAATGTTGCAGTCATTTAGCCTACCTTCTTTCATTTTGTCCTCAATGAACAATCTAATGGGACAATGAGACTGACATATGAAATAATCAGGTTAACTACAAGACAGAATCTAATAATTATGATAATGACATAATGGTTTAAGCTTTTTTAATCCTTTATACATCTTCTTATGATTCCCACAACAATCCCTGCAAAGTAGGGCCAGGCCAGACATCCCCATTTTAAGGTGAGAAAACTAAGGCACAGAGGTTAGATAACTTGCCCAAGGATACCCTGGCTAGTTAAGTGGCAAAGGTAGATTTCTGAACTCAAGGCTTCTGACTCCAAATCCAGTGTTCTTTTTACCTCTTCTCTTCTCCCTTTATATTCTTTTACTTGGTAATCTCAACAGCTCCCATGGGGTCAATTATCTATGCTGATGATTCTCAAATCTACCTACCCAGCTTTAACCTCTCTCTTGATATCCAGTCTCCTAGATCCAGGTACCTACTGGAAATTGTGAACTACATGTCCTGTAGACACTTTTAAGTTTAATAAGTCCAAAACTGAACTAAGTATCTTTCCCTCCACCAACTCCCCTGCCACTTTTCTTGCTAAGTTTCTGCTTACAGTCAAGGGCATCACCATCCTCTCAGTCACTCAGGCTCAAAACCTCAGAGTCATCCTCAAATCTTCACTGCCTCACCTCCTCCACTCCCTAAATCTAATCTATTGCCAAGGCCTGTGTTGATTTTTCCTCTGTAACATCTCTCAGATATGCCTCCTTCTCTCTGACACTAACACCACCCTGATGCCGGTCCTCATCACCTCATGCCTGGACTGTTGCAATAGCTGCTGGTGGGTCTACCTGCCTCAAGTCACTTCCCACTACAATCTGTCCTCCAAGGTGATCTAGAAGTGCAGTTCTGACCATGTCACCCTCTTCCTCTCTTAACAAACTCTAGTGGTTCCCTATCACCTCTGGGGTCAAACAGAAAAATCCTCTGGGATTCAAAGTCCTTCATAACCTGGACTCTACCTTTCTTACACCTCATATCCCCTCTCCCTCCACATTCTCTACAATCCTTCCTTGCTTTTCAAACAAGACCCATCATTTCCCAACTCTGGGCAATTTTACTGGCTGTCTCTCGTACCTGGAATGCTCTCCTTTCTCATCTCTGCTTCCTGGCTTTCCTGGATTGCTTTAAGTCCCAGCTAAAATCCCACCTTCTACAAGAGGTCTTTCCAGATTCCTCTTAATTCTAGTGCCACCTTTCAGTTGACTGTTTCCAATTCATCCTGTACATAGCTTGTTTACGTGTAATTGTTTACATGCTGTCTCTTCCATTAGACTGTGAATCTCTGAGGGAAGGTACTTGTCTTTTGCTTTTCTTTATATCCCCAACACTTAGCACAGTGCTTGGTACATAATAGAAGCTTACTATCAATCTACAAACATTTATCTAAGCTCAAGGAACTCTGCTAGACTCTGAGAAATGAAGATGACAAAAAAAAATCAAAGTATTTATACTCAAGAAGCATGTTACCTAGCTGGGTGAGACTACCATGTACATAAATGTACATATACACATATGTACATAGATACATATGAAACAGATACAAAGCAGATACCAGGCATTGAGAGGTAGGGGAGGTCCTTCGATAAGCTAGAAGGATCAGAAAAGGCTTCCTGTAAAAGGTGGTACCTGAGCGAACTTTGAAGGAAACTGGGAATCCTGAGGGTTAGAGGCAAAGAGGGAATGTACTTCAGGCATGGAGTTCAGTCAGTACAAAGGCACGAATATGGTAGATGGAATGTCATGTAATAAGGAAGAGTAAGAAGGCTAGCTTGGCTGGACTGTACTATGTGGGAAGAGAAATAATGTGTAATAAGGCTAGGAAGGTAGGTTAATGGTAGGCAACATAGGTCTTTAAATGCCAAAGAAAAGTTTATATTTTATCCTAGAGGTAATAGGGAACCACTGGAGTTGACTGTGTAGGGGAATGACATTATTTGATTTTCAACTTAGAGAAATATCTGTGGTAGCTGTGTGGAGGAAGACTTAGGGTTGAGAGAGACTTGAAGCAAGGGAGACCAATTAGGAGGTTATTGTATGAGTTCAGGCCAGTGATGAGGAGGGCGTGAACTAGCCCGGTGACCATATGAGTAGGGAGAAGGGGTTGGATGTCAGAGGTGGTGTAATATGTCATAGCCGAATCAAGCGGCTCCAGTTCGTGGAGTAGACATTACATGATTTAAGAGGTCAAGAAATGGCAAAACCCTTTTGGGCAAGAGATTTAGGGAAGATTTATAGATGAGATATGTCTTAAGACAGACCTTGAAAGAGATGATAAGCAGTTATAACATTCTCTAAGATTAACAAACCATGACACACAGTTACAACTACCATGCTACTTTAAGAATACCCTGATTCTTTCTTCTACATTCCCATGCTCTCGCCAGGCAAACACCTACTTACCTCCTTCTACAAACTTGGCTGGCTAAAACCTGGGATTGATTCTTGTCCTGGCAAGATGTATAAGAAGTTTCCATTAGATTGTGACACCCTTGAGGGCAGGTACTGTTCTTCGCCTTTCTTTGTATTCCTTGTGCTATGCTTAGCATGATGCCTGGTACACAGTTAGTGCTTAATAAATGCCTGTAGACTGATCAGGGCAGGAATGTGCTTCAGAACCAAGGTTTCCTTAGAAAAATTGTCTTACATTTGCTCCGCTTCTGTCCCTGCAAGTTTGATTCTCATGAATATTCTAATTTCTGTTTTCTAACTAACAAATAAGTAGCAAAATCAGTACTGAACCCAAGTTCCTGGAGAGAAAAGCCAGGAATACAGATCAATATACTAGCCTGGAAAAAAATAAGCTTGCGGTGATTCATAAGGTTAGCTAGTCAATAAGCGTTCATTAAGCACTTACTATGTGCTAGCTGCTATGCTAAAAACACTGAAGACACAAAGAAAGGCAAAATACAGTCCTTGCCCTCAAGGAACTCACATCCTAATGCAGGGAGACAACACATAAATATGTACAGAACAGATGGAAGTTAATTTCAGAGGGGGAAGGCAGCAGCAGCTGAGGGAGAATGGGAAAAGCTTCTGGCACAAGGCAGGATTTGAGATGAGTCTTGAAGAAAGCTTGGGAAATAAAGAAGCTGAGGGGAGGTGGAGTATTGAGGAGATGGGAAAGGGAGTGTAGTCTGTGAAAAACAGCAAGCGGGCTGGTGCAGCAGGATGGCAGGAGCCAAGCCGGGAAGAGCTGAAGAACTCAGCTTCTCTTCTAAGAGCCAGCCTCAGGAAGTGAGCATGACTTTTATGAAGATGGGGATGTCAGCTCCCCAGAAAGGAGTGAATGGAGTTTCTATTCCTGGAAATCATTGAGACAATGTGGAAAATAGCCTAGGTTTTTCCATGCCCAAAGACGTGGGATTAGAACAAAAAACATCCTGAGCTCTCTACTAACTTGAAGAATGCATGTGAAAAATATGTAAAAGGACCATTTTGGATCAAGTAAAATCATCAAAAACTGGAAAACAAGGCTGATCATAAGAAGTTATAAAAAGATAAGGCTTATTTAGTCTGAGATAGACAGGTGAGGGGTAACTTCTGGTAAAGAGTTATTATAATGACGGTTAAAAATGTAAAAGAGACTTTGTTAAAAATTAAGAGGAAAAACAACTGTTTTGGATGCTATACATACAATAATACACAGAGGCAGAAGAATGCAGAAAATGTTCTTACTTAAAGATTCCACAGGTGAGGGAACAACAAAAGCCATTTCTGTAAGGGCATCAGCATAATACAACACCTTTTTCTGTCCATTGAAAATACTTGCTCCGATATCTTCACATGGAACTATTTCCTCTAGGAACACAAAACCAAGTGTTACAAGGAGTATACAAGTTCAGCAGAATGCCAACTACCTAGCTTCATAGCATTTTATATAGTTGCTAAAATTGTATAGTGGTAAAAGGGAAGTCTCTATCCATTACCAGCTTCTGTGTCAGAACATAATGTAAATATTCTAGAAAAGGGTTTTCCATCAACACTTTTGATTTTGTAATTATAAAAACTAATTTATTCGGTTCTGTAACAACTTTCCCATATGGTAACTAGCTCCTAGTTGGTAAAGCCTTTACTTTGACACTAGAAGGGAGGTATGGGAGCAGAGGTATCATCCACTGTCTTATTGGGGAGGGAGGAAGAAAGTGGAAAGAAGGGAAAGGAAGAGGAAAAGGAAAGAAGGATGGAAGGTGGAAGGAAGAAGGAAAGAAGACAGAGAAAAAGGGAGGGAGGGAGGGAGGAAGGAAGGAAGGAAGGAAGGAAGGAAGGAAGGAAGGAAGGAAGGAAGGAAGGAAGGAAGGAAGGAAGGAAGGAAGAAGGAAGGAAGGAAGGAAGGAAGGAAGGAAGGAAGGAAGGAAGGAAGGAAGGAAGGAAGGAAGGAAGGAAGGGACCAGGCTGTGGCAGGGGCCAGGGTTGCCATTTTAGAAGGCATGTGTGTACATGTTATGTTCTCTTGTTATTATTACTTTCAGTAGACAAGCACTGACAGTCGGTTTTAGGTTCCATTTTCTTCCTAGATATCTTGAAAATTTAGTAAACTAAATTAAAATGTTTACAGAATTTTCCTAATAGAAGTTAGGTAGAATAATGGACATATTAGATACCATTGCTAAGTTTAAATTAAAAAAAGCAATTTGCCTCAAAATCTTAATATTTTTTAGTTGAATAATATAGTTTTACCTTGTTCAGGTACATCAGTATCACCGTGAGTGTTAATAGACCAACTTGTTGAAACATGTCCAGTCCAACCAGGGTGCTTCCCTATATCCACCGACCAGCCAAGAGACAACAAAAATTCTAAGAAATGAGGCTGAACATTTTTGGAAGACTCAGCATTCTTCAGAATCTGAAATACATACCAGGAACAGAAATAATAAAGGAAGAAACCAATTAAAAAAATCTGAATTTAAAAATAAAAAATAATTTGACAACTTTTTTAAGTATTTGGTAACTTAAAGTTAGTACCAGTTCATAACCATCTTAATAAATGGTCCTAAATACCATTCCTTAGTTCAAAGAGAAAAACAACTGTAAAGTAGCATGTGTTCTCACTCTGGAAACCCTTTTCCACAATATATATATACTATGCAAATCAGGAGCAATACTAAGGGTTCTTTTTTCATTGTCTTTAGCTGCCCAACATGTAAAGGGAGTGATCTGCTGACAAGATGGGGCAGTAAACTATTCTTTAGACTCACTTCAGGAGCTCTGATTGGTTCACAAAAAACAAGCAATTACTAATTCAGAACAAAAGAGGGGAAGAATAGTCTGTATGAGTTCTTGGTACATATTTATTAAAACTTGATCTTTTTATTCCTTGAGTATCCCTCAAAAATTTTATAAGTTCTAAAACGTCTTGTAATAAACTTCATGCAATTTAAATTCCATAAGACGTGAACCATCCCACAGATATTAATACAAATTTCTTTCATTTTGTTTTTTTTTCCTTCTCACCAGTTTAATTGCTGGACATCCCATCCCTGTGCTATTTCTTCTCAGCAAAAGTTTATATTTTATGCTATTTCCTCTGTGATTTGTCAAGGATGTAATTTTTTCTTTCATCTACCCCTTAATTCTAACATTTAAAAATGCTTTCATATTCTCCTTGAGTCCTTTTTCGAAATTTTATTTGATTTCATGTTCTGGGTTCTATCACCTCTACAAATCTCTTGAATCTGATCCCTCCAAACCTTCAATATTTCTTTATACTCTAGCTTGATAATCTGGTCCACCTTAAAAAAATAAATTACTAACTTAGTCACCATCAACACCACCTCCAAAAACAAATGAATGCAAAACAAGGGATAAAAATCTCATCCCAAACCCACAGTCTTTCAACAAGGCAGAATAAACAAATTTAAACATTAAGTAGCATAAGCCAAGCTAACCTTATTTCTTTTTTTGAAAATGGGATTACATAGTCTAATTGCTAATAAATTTCTATGTGCTAGAGAAAGGGAAATTGAGTTTCATTTCTACTATCTGAAGCTTTATTTCAACGTAAACCAAATTAATTTACTTGAATATTCATCTTTCTACTTGAGCAACTTAGGTAGAGAAAATGAAATCTCCAGACAAAAAACATATTGCTCTAAATAGATAAACAAGCAAATAAACAAACAAACCCCAGGTTTATTTGACTGGTAGGTCAGAGGACATCTACAGATACTATTTACCTAGATTTTAGCTAAGCATTTCATTAACATTCTCATCTATTCTTTCAGACAAGTTGCAAGGATATGGATTAGACAACAGGACAGTTAGATTCAGAATTAGTTCAGGGTTTGCTAGTAAAAGGCATCAAATGTCCGTTTTTGGGCCTGGGCTATTTAACATTTTTATCAATAAGTAGAATAAAGGCATAGACAGCAGTCTTATTACATTTGGACATGACTCAAGGCTGGGAGGGATAGGTAATGCATTTAATGAAAGGATCTAAAAAGATCTTGACAGGCTAGACACATTGAGTCGAATCTAAGAAGATAAAATTTCATCAGGATAATATAAGGCAGTCCTATATAGTGGAGACAATTCTGGGCTTAGAAAATTCTATGTCTAGGGCAGCTAAGTGGTGCAGTGAATAGAGCACTGGCCTTGGAGTCAGGAGGACCTGAGTTCAAATCCAGCCTCAGACACTTAACACTTACTAGCTGTGTGACCTTGGGCAAGTCACTCAACTCCAACTGCCTCACCAAAAAGCAAAAAAGAAGAAGAAGAAGAAAATTCTATGTCTGACACCTGCTGTGCCACCCTGAACAAATCACTTAAGTTCTATACAACTCAGGCAACTCTCCATGATTTATTTATTAAAATGCAGACAGGTTAGATTCTGTATAGGGAGGAAGGTAGGGAAGGAGTTTCTCAAGCTAACCAAAACATAGGTCCTTTGAATATATGTAAAGCTTTATGCTTGCGTTCCAAAAAAAAAAATCAACCTCAAAAGTACAAAATGGGGGAGAGAAGGTCACATTTTTGGCATCTGAAAAACACCTGAAGGTTTTTATGGACTACATAATTTTAATAGTGTGATACAGCAGCTAAAAAAACTAATGCCCTCTTGTACTGCACAGGCAAACACAGTGTTCAGAGCAAAAGTAATTAAAGTCCCTACTATCTTCTGCTCTCATCAGACTAGATTTGTAGTACTTTCTTTGCTTCTGGCCATCACATTTTAAGAAGGATATTGATAAACTGGACAGTGCCCAGAGAAGATGAGACCAAGATGGTGAAGGGCCTCAAGATCATATGCAACATGATTATTGGTTGAAGAAACTGAGCATATTTAGCCTGCAGAAGAGAAGACTTGAGAGAGGGAACTGATGGCTATTTCGAAACACCTGAATAGCTGTCAATAAGGAAGGGATTAAGGTTGTTTTGTCCAGAGGGTAGAAATTTTAAGGAAAATTTTGGCTCACATTAAGTAAACTTTTTTTTTTTAACAAAAATGGAATGGGCTGCCTTAGGAGATAGTAGTTTACATCTCTTTAAATCAAGGCTGGATATCCACTTGTTGGGTATATTATGAAGAGGGAAATCGTGGTCAGACAGAAGTTGGACTAGATGGTCTCTGCAGTCCTTTCCAATTTGGATCTGGTGATTCTAAAAGAAAACGTTTTTGTATTCTCCTCCAAAATCGCCCAAAGCATTGCCATCTTTTGGCTTTTTTCTCCTTCCTCTTGTGTTTCTTAAAAACAAAAAACAAGAAAAACCCCAAAAAACAGTAGGGAGGCAGAGCCAAGATGGTGGAGAGAAGCCAGGAAGTTGCCTGAGCTCTCCCTAGTTTCCTTCGGAAACAACATTAAATCAAGTCTCTAAAAAGATTCTGCAGCAACAGAATCCACAAAAAGACAGAATGAAACAATTTTCCAGCCCAAGATAACTGAGAAGGACCTACAAGGAAAGGTCTGTCTTACTTGGATAAAAGGGGAACACAGCCCAATACAGGTAGTATCCAGGCAAGCCAGCAGGAGGCTCTTAGCTACCGCACAGATCAGCAACTGAGGTTCCATGGTTCTGGCTCAGCAGGCCAGCTGTGAAACCTCTAGCCCCAGTGCAGCAGACAAACTGCCAGCCCCAGAACCCAGGGCACAATAAGCAAGACTAGACTAGACCACAGTGGGCAAGCCGCCAGCCCCAGAGGCTCTAGCACAGATAGCCAGTGACCAGGCCCTTACCCCTCTGTTGCAAGAAGCTTGGGACAGTGCCCCCAGGAACAGAGCTCAACCTTTTCAAATAAGCAAAAAACAAAAAAGAGCCCTGACCATAGAAAGCTACTATGGCAATAGAGAAGATCCAAATACAAACTCAGAAAAGGACAACGATGTCAAAATGCCTACATGCAAAGCCTCAAAGGGATATGAATGGTCTCGAGCCCAAAAAGTGCTCTCGTAAGAGCACAAAAAGGATTTTAAAAATCAAGTAAGAGAGGCAGAAGAAAAATGAGGGAAAGAAATGAGAGTTATGCAAGAGAATTATGAAAAAACAGTCAACAACATGGAAAAGGAAGCACAAAAATTGACTGAAGAAAACAACTCCTTAAAAAATAGAATTAGCCAAATGGAAGAGGAGGTACAAAAGGTAACTGAAGAAAATAATACATTAAAAATTAGAACTGGGCAAGTGGAAGCTAATGATTCTATGAGACATCACGAATCAGACAAACAAAATCAAAAGAATGAAAAAATAGCAGAAAATATAAAAACACCTCACTGGAAAAATAACTGACCTGGGAAATAGATCCAAGAGAGGTAATTAAAGAATTACTGAACTATCTGAAAGCCATGATTAAAAAAAAAAAGCCTAGACAACATCTTTCAAGAAATTAACAAAGAAAACTGCCCTGATACCCTAAAACCAGAGGGTAAAATAGTCATTGAAAGAATCCATCGATCACCTCTTGAAGGAAATCCTAAAATGAAAACTCCAAGGAATACTGTAGCCAAATTCCAGAACTATCAGGTCAAAGAGAAACAATTCAAATATCAAGGAGCCATAGTCAGGATTACATAGGATTTAGCAGCTTCTACATTAAAGGATCAGAAGGCTTGGAATATGATATTCTGGAAGGCAAAAGAACTTGGATTACAACCAAGAATCAACTATCTAGCAAAACTGAGTATAATCTTTCAGGGGAAAAGATGCACATGAAATGAAATAGAGTACTTTCAAACATTCCTGATGAAGACTAGAGTAAAGGTAAAAGGTGGAGCAGAATACTTCAGCTTAAGTAAAAAAAGCAGGCGTAGCAATCCTAATCTCACACAGAGCAAAAGCAAAAATTGATCTAATTAAAAGAGACAAGAAAGGAAACTACATCTTGCTAAAAGGTACCACAAAATAGGAGGTAATATAAATACTAAACATATAAGCACCAAGTGGTATAGCATCCAAATTCTTAGAGGAGAAGTTAAGTGAAAAAAAGACAGTAAAACTATACTAGTGGGGGACCTCAACCTCCCTGGAGAGACCTGAATGGGGACAGAATGGAACATACATTTTTCTCAGTGGTACATGGCACCTACACAAAAACTGACCATGTATTAGGGCACAAAAACCTCATAATCCAATGCAGAAAGGCAGAAATATTAAATGCATCCTTTTCAGATGATGATGTAATAAAAATTACATGTAATAAAGAGCCAGGGAAAGGCAGATTAAAAATTCATCAGAAACTAAATAATCTAATTCTAAAGAATGCATGGATCAAATTACAAATCAGAAACAATCAATTTCATGAAAGAGAAAGACAATAATGAGAAACCAGCAAAATTTATGGGATACAGCTAAAGCAGTATTTAGGAGAAATTTTATATCTCTAAATGTTTACGTGAATAAAATAGAGAAAGA